TGACGACAATGACTTGTCTGTCATTTCCCTGTCATTTTGGTCATATAAAGCATGTCTCTCATCATAACTTTTTGAGCCAACAGGGTTTGGTTAGCTTCCTAGAGGAGTGACATTATACCTGACATGGCAGTAGGCCAGAGCCCAGCCCTGCTCCAGCATCACTTTTTTCTCTGGGTAGAACTCCATGTTAAGATCTCTGCCATAAGCACCATAGACATGGACCAGCAGCGGTGCCTGTCTCAAATGCTCCACAGGTACTGTATGAAACAATGTCACAGGCACAAAGGTACCGTCCTACAAAAACACACAGAGATGCACTTTCAGACTAAAGGAATTAATGGTAAATTATCTAGAAATAAGTCTATAAAATTTGTTACAATTATACGCCTCTGTGTTAGGTGATGATGTATGAAGAAGCACAAAATGCCCTTCTCTGTATGGTGATAAATGCTAAATGCTTAGAGCCCTGCTGACATTGTCTTATTATTTGCGCAAATTATATTTCAAGTTTCCTCACTTGGCTGCAGGCCTCCAAGCGCGTAGTGATATAATCAGCTTGGTTCTCTGGGGAGGATCCATCTCCAGTGCCTGATAAAAGGAGCCCATTCTCAGGGTGTAGACAGTATGGAACCGGCGGATGGACTGGAGAGGATATCAGGAATTCTAGCATATTTTGTTGGTCAGCCAAGCCTGGTTTCTTGGTTTTAATGGCACAAGCCCAGGATGGAAGCTTTAGCATGAGTGTAGAAATAAAAAGCTTTGAGAATATATTAATAACACTAAACCACAAACCCATAAAATTACAAAAAGTAAAGACTAAGAACAACCAAAAGGTGGTTAAAGTCTCAAACGCTAACAAGCACATAAGTATGCAAGAAATTGTGTAATAATTACCTGTACTATGTATGCATTCTTGGGGTGGATCAGAGGGACCACAATGAGAGCTAGTTCACTAACTGGCGTTCTTGCAACCAACACACAATGGTCTCCAACCACGTCCATGTCTTTAATTGTAGTCCTAGGTTCAGGCGCAAACAAAGAGACCCAGGAATCCATTGATGGCTCTGAGACAGGAGCCTGAACCACCTGGAAATTAAATGGAAAGATGAATCTCCTTCACTGAAAATCAATGTTTTAACTGGATATTAAATGTAGCACTCTGTAAAATACCACTGGTTAGTTAATAGAGCAAGTTGTGAATAGAGACCAATTGAAACAGAACATAAGGAAAATTATAGCATGTCAAAACACAGAAACCTTTTTAAACCATTTTAACTTCTGACATTTTGTTTTCCATGTGCATTTGAAGAGAAAGTGAACAGTAGGTAAAAGCAGGTATACTCCTGTAGTTACAGAGTACACTGCATTCATGCCTGAGTCTGAATTATACCTGGTAAGTTCTGCTAGTCATTATGTATTTATATATGTGTATTTTTGTCTGCATTACTCCTTATATTGTCACTATAGGACCAAACACTTATCCAGGTTTCCTTGGTAATGATGGGCAATCACTCATGTAAAATCTAAAAATACTAATATATATAT